AACCAGGTTAAATGCTGAGTGTTTGGGCGCGCAGTCAGGAGCGTCTTGTGGCTGAATTCAGTCCCTAAAGTTTTACATTCCCGGGGGCTGGTTTCACAGCTCCCTGCCTCTTACACCATCCCCTCCACGCCGTTATGCTTCCCAGCCAGGGGCGAGCAAGGGAGGCCGTGGCGGACAAATACACAGCGAGCACCACCACAGGCCGCGATGAGGAAATGATCTGATTTGTTGCTATGGCCGAGTCCTACTCAGGCTATTGGCTGATACCCATGCCACTCGTGAATGCATGTTGGCAGGGAGTTCAAACCTGTCATGTGCATGGGCTGCATCTGTGAAAGCTATCACACGGGTCACTGCAGGTCAGCTGCAACCAAGAGCAGAGGCCAACACTTCTTGCATACATTCAATATCAGTTTAATCTGCTCACACTTGACCTGTCACTTGGTACTGCTTTTTTAGTCCATTCGCAGTGTTGTGAATCTTTTACCAGTTGCATATGTCCAAATCTTGCATTAAATGGCGACTAGAGAAACCCAAACTGAACACATCAGCATGTTTAACTTACTATTTAGTTTTGTGAGTGCCCACACAAAGCTGTTTGATACATATTATTTATACATTGTTGTTCTTTGCCAATTTGAAAAGTCACAGCCTCTCAATCTGTTGTGTAATCCATTAATTATTCAACTGATTTATGTTTAGATAGTCAGCTATGGGCAAAATCAAGCTACGTCAACAGTTAAATAACAGCTGTGTTGGTCTTTTATGTAAATTCCTGCCTGTGATTCAGCCCACTCATTTTCACACCAATTATCTCCCTCATTCTGCTTTTCTTGATCACTGATACACAAAGTATTTCAACTGCTTAGCTTATTTGTTTATTTTGGCACCACAAAACTTCATATGTGCAGTATGCATAGGTGTAGAATGTGCATTTCAATCAGGAGAGACAGAAGAATGACGTACAGATCATATTTGATATGAAATATGAGTGTGCAGATTAACAGATGATTTGTGCTGATTAAGATTTAACAGAAGTCTTTGGTGCTTGGACACCAGAGGGAGATATTTTGTGTTTGAGGGACATGTGAGCAGCAGCAGGACAAATCTCCCCATGGAGTCTGGACACTGGTGGTGGTGGTGGTGGTGGCTGATGACTCTGAGGCTGCTGACTGCTGAGGCCAATGAGGCTGATGTATCCATAAAGACCAGGTTGTGATGGGGAGGTGAAGGGCGAAGAACCATATTTACAATGACGACCAGTAAGATGATAGGCTGACAGAGAAGGTGTGACACTGTGCTGTTGGCTGATTGTGAATCGGCTGAAAGCAGCTGATGACTCAGTTGACAGACTCAGACGATGACAGCTAGACATAGTGAATGAGCACGTGCTAAGAGTGAATGGCAAGGTGTAAAGGAAAACTTACAGCACGAGCATGAAAAGTATTGTCTTCCTGACTGAACTTTTACTAGAGGTTCATCTCCCCACTCCAAAGACAAAACAATAGCAGTGGACTTTTAATTTGAATTAAACTGATACAAAAGGGCAAAAATAGAGTGCTGCAGCCTGGATCATGTTTTTTCATAGGCTTATCCCAGATGTTAGCATCGCCCTGGTTTCCTTCGCAAAAAGCTGATTGGACTTTTTCATTGGATTTTGGATTACTGCAGGAAATAAGTGGCAAACAAAAGTTTATGATACTTACACATTTTGCTCAGCAAGATCATCTTTACAACTGAATAAGACTTTTATGATTTTTGATGCATAATGTTATCCCCAGAAGTAAGAAGCTAACATTAGGCTATAAACCAACTACACTGCAGTTGTAATCATGGAGTATCTACTGACCTATTTGATGTCATAGAATAAAATGTGAAAATGTCCTAAGGCATGCAACCAAAAACTCATTGAAAAAGCCACTGACTTCAAGACGAGGGAACCAGAAGTGTAAAAATGCTAACTAATTTCCGGATTTTAGGACTCAGTCCTGCAGCGCTCTATTGGTGTATAGAAATTCACCAGAAGGAAATGAAGTGTTGGATGCTCAAACTTTTATGTCAGAGGACTCCAAGCCCCCCATTTCATATGTGTCCCCCAATGTTGAAACAAACTGTACGCCCTAAGCTGTACAATAATATCGGCCTATAGAACCAATTTGGTCAGAATAAGGAAAATAAACATGCAAGTTATTGAGCTAATACCACAATGTATTTTATTTACTGTACGTTTTATTAAATTATAATATTTTCTGAAGTCTTATAGATCCTATTAACATGGTAAATTATAATAAACAGAATTTATGTGTAACTTATGTCACATTGAGTGAAAAAAAACCCAATAATATTAAATCCAAGAACAGGGTGTCTACAGGTATCAGACAGTTAAATCTAATGCTTTTTAAGAGCCGTTAAAGACACCTTTTAACCATATCTAGGACAGATTTTTAGACAAATCACTTATTTAAGCACTGCAGGCAAGTAGTAGGCTATACGTGGTCTTGTGCAGAGGGAAGTGTTATGTGGTCATTAAAAGTGGGTTAACTCGGTCTACATTTTGGACTTTTACACAGAAAGGCTTCACCCATTTTCACATGAAGAAATTAAAATAAAATAATTGTAGCTGTTATGACCTCACAAATTCAAATTTAAGACGACTTAATAACTTTTAAGGCCTTATAGTTGTAACATTGAAGTCAAGACACATTAATACATTTTAAGGACCTGTAGACACCCTGAAGAAAATATGTTAAGACTGCTTGTTTTGTGTGTTGCACAAATCCAAAACCCAAAGATATTCAATTTATAATCACACAAAAAGAGAGAAAATATCTCAAGAAGTCAGAACCAGCAAAGGTTTCAATTTTTGCCCAATAAACTTATATCCTTTTTCCATTGGCACTCTTGGCTGTGCTGAGTGAAGTCATGCCGCACCAATTTTTGTTTCCATTGTCGGTTTAGACACTTTCCTCAGACACAGGTTTTTTTCCTCCATGATAACACCATTTTTAATCTGCTATTTGACTGTACCTTATATGTAATAATTCTGAATGCTGTCAGAGAGATGTCTCCAGGCCCAACATCTTCTGCCTGAAGGAGAAAGAAGCAGTTTTTTTTTTCCTCCAGAAAATTAGGTAATTGTGTTTTGGTGCGGCACTGTTATGACATAATTGAATTTTCTCCTTTATTGCCTGGGAGAGCCTTCGAGGGCTGTAGTGTTGAATTTCTGCCGACAAAGGGGAATGAAGTGTTAATTTCTGCTTACAAGAACAAAATCTCCTGCTTCTGATCTAGTTATGGTTGATTGGCGATTGTCCGCAGACGTTCCTTAAAGGAAAACCAAGCAGACAGCCTATCAGGATCATCTCTCTTCCCTGGAACTAATGCTCCTCTAATACACCAAGGGAGAGGCATGTTAGGTCTAGCGGGAAACTCTAGATCACTGTAACACCTCATTTCATTCCCTCCACCAAGAGAGTGCACAATCTATACAAGCCTCAGGAATTATTTTACACTGTCTAAGCAAAACATAGTCAAAACTCCACATTATGTGGACAGGATGAGACGATAACTTGATTCTGTTCTGCTGTGTTTGGTTGTTTTTGTGCCAATTAACACCCTTCCTTCCTCAGATCCCAGTAGGCAGTCTCCTCCTCTTGCTCTGTCTACTCCCTGGACTGCTGCTCAGGCCCACAGATGATCTATGGCCTCTTATCTTATTAATGCATGCTAAGTGATCCACTAGGCCAATATGACATCTTCAACAGCAGCACTAAGAAACCGTTCTTTGTTAAGAGCTCATCTTAAAACTCTTAAGGTGGACCCTTACTGTGAGATGATTTGAGCCCAACACTATGCCTGACGAGAAAGGATGTCTTGAACTGCAATTTTCTTTAACAATTGTAGGCTATATATATTTTTCATATATTATGTATGGTAAAGATGTGTAAAAACAAACACCTTTCACAAACAGGTCAGATGTGCTCAGTGGAGCAAATGCTATTTTTTTTTTACCTTGTTCACAGTGTATTCTGACATCTTGTGGAATTTTTTTTATATGTCATATTTGTATACTCCCCAGACCTGGACAGAGTCTGGAGATTACAGTAATACAGTCATCAAGGTTTTTGTTCAGAAAATGATTGTCCACCTCAAGTCGTAACACACACGCACACACACACACACACACACACACACACACACACACAAAATAAAAATATAATGTAACATGAATAAATCAGATTTAACTAAAATAACTGCAACCTTAAAGTTGTAAATTTGTGTTTGTGGAAAACCATAAACTGGATTGGAGCTGGATTAAGTAGAAGAACAACTACGCCACCAAGTGGACATCTGGATATGACAGACAGATAACTGGATGTAAAGATGTATAGATGTATAGATAGATGGATTCAAGGAACTGCTCAGTGCAACTCACCAAGTCTTCTTATTGGCTCTTTTTGTTATCTTTTCCTGCTTTCCTGCCATAAAATATAATTTCTTAATTACACAAGAAAATAATTCAAACTTAATTTATGTGTTGATATTTTTTTTAACAATTATTTATTACATTTAATTGATTAATTAATGCAATTATTTTACTGGCTATGTAGGCCTACGTGTATGGAGTAACCTACAGACAAGTAGAACAACATAATGATAACACAGTAATACAACAAATGTGAAACCTTGCAGTGGGAGAAAGGGGAAGGAAGGGGAAATTGGTTGATTAATTTGAACAGCAAACATCAGGGAAATAAGTCAGGCATGAACGGACAAACTCTCCTCTGTAAGTCTCCTCTGCCAAATCTAGGGAGTTGCCGCCTCATCCAATGATCTCCAAAGTTCCTTATCAGCTTTAAAGTTGCCATTGCATCCATACCTCAACTACACATACACTTATGCCCTAAATACGATAATGAGTCCCCATCCACTTCCAGACCTCGAGTCCAGACCAGTTTCATAGATGGGTCGCGGTCCTAGCTCCAACAGGAAGCCCGGGATCTACTTTATGCAGCTGCAGGATACAAAGGGGCGGGACTGAGGTAGACTCCTGTCTCAAACTTGTGCTATGGCTGCAGCGGTGTGGACTGATCGGGGACGGAGGGCTGTGACTGTAGTGGGGACAGCGACGAGATCCAGTCACACAGCTTTAAAATCCCAGTATGACGCAGTGGTCATCGGAGGAGGTGAGAGGTCCGGACTGTTGGTGCAATAAACTCAGGAGCTGTGCTACAGTTTATTAATAACAGCATGCGTCACACTTTGCAACATTGATAGGTGTCAGCTAAGTTTGCAAAAGTAATCATTAATAATTTTTATCTCACTTGTTAAAAGTAGGGGTTTGGCTTTGTCTCTTCGTATGTATTTATTTATTTGCAAGATCACAGTTTCATCTGAATTGTTGAAATTTGGACTCATTCAAGCTGGCTGCAAAGAGAATGCTACTGGAGAGCAGTAGCATTTAAATGTGAAAAACTGTCAATGAAGCTAATCTTTAATATTTTAAATAGCTTAATCTTTGTTGGGAATTTACTTTTTTATTTTAAATCTGTCTGACATGTCATTGCAGGACACAATGGACTGGTGGCAGTGAGTAAATGCATTTCTTTCCCAACACCTACACTATGCTATGTATTACGCTGTAATACATTAAAGGGCCAGTGTGTAATATTTGGCATGGTTTATTGTCAATCTGAATCTGAATCTGAATATTCTACCCATTAACATGTTTATACAAGTGTATAATCACTATAAAATAAAATTCATTTGGTTTTCGTAGCCTTATAATTATGCTTTTATATATATATATATATATAGCAAGGGCCTTGCTTTAGAGAGGTCGCCATCTTGCGCCGCCATGTATGTACGGCAGACCGAGCGGACAATCCAGCCAGCCAGAGAACGCGTTTCGCGTGTATAAATGAACCAACGAAGACAGCGGAAGGAAGGAAGAAGGAGTTGGAAACAGCAGAGAGTGTTAGTAGTTCGTCGATAGAGAGTAGTGAAAAGTTTTTTTAGTTATAAAGTTTGCGAATGGACCACACTTACCACGCAACAGGAGAGAATGAACCCGAACCGTCATCTGCGAGGAAAAGAAGATGCAACTTCACTCCTTGTGATGCACTCTCTGCGGCGCTTTTCCTCCTGATGATATATCTCCCCAACGATGGTAGCAGTAGCACCGAATCCCATTCTGTGCATTCAGCCTCTCTTCTCGCCCGCTCAGCATCCAACACATGGAGTTCCTCATCTGTATGCTCCGGCTCAAACAGGTATGGCTCTGGATCTGTGTCCGCTACAAGAAACTCTTCAAAATCGCGTTCAAAGTCGTCCATTGCAGCTACTATAGTCCGGAGATATTGCTAGGTTAAATAAACAGCTGAGCTCTATTTACAGGCTACGCTGTCAGTCAGTGTGCGGACTGGAGATTGGTGAAGCAGAGAGGGGAGGGGGTCCCCACTCAGTATGGTAAACGAGTATGTGTGTAAAGTTATGGAGTGTGTGTGTTACGCCAGAAGAGTCAGAGTTTGGGACGGAGTCTTTTACCCCCTGGAGTGTTACCAGAGTTTCTGGAGTGCTCAAATAAACAGGCCTTTTTTCTGAACGCTCCTCTGGTCTCCTGCTCGTGAGGGATTCATTACAATATCGTAACATGGTTTAGATTTCTAAATAAACATTCACCTCGTCGCTAGATAGACCTACTCCTGAAAAACTCGTGCGCAAGGCTTTTTGTCCCTACGAGGCCACCGTCATTTACCCGACGGGAGGGGTGAGCGAGTGAGCCCTGCAATCAAGAATTTGACCACTGATGTCACTGTTTTCAACCCATTTTACACACTGGCCCTTTAAAGGCATATGGTTTAGCAAAAGGGAAATGCTGATGTGTCTTTAGTGTGTGTGTGTGTGTGTGTGTGTGTGTGTGTGTAGGCTGCATATCTTCAGAAGGGAGGACTGAAGACAGCAGTGCTGGAGCGCAGATATGTGCTGGGAGGAGCAGCTGTCTCAGAGGAACACTTCCCTGGTAGGGTGGCCTCTGGCTGGGATACAATCCTGGTTCGACTCAGGTCATAAAGGGTCGGTTCACCAAAATTTAACCAGGAAAAAAATCTTCTCAGTTGTATCTCAGACACTGTATACTGGAACTGTATTCTAACTAAAAAGTAACCCATTTTGGAAACTGTCGACCACGGGTTCTGTGGATTATCCAGAGTAACACACACGCCACATATCTGCATGCCCAGATGCCACCATGAAGTGAAGAAACACACACTGCTTTGTAATTTTTAACGTTTAAAAGTTTATAATTTATTGAGCTGTGTTAATGAGTGTTGTATCAAGTCATGCTTAAAAGAAATGTACTTTACTTTGTCCTTGTTAGTAACAGTTTTCTCATGTGCAGGTTTCCACTTCTCCAGGTGCTCCTATGTGCTTAGTTTATTAAGACCTCACATACACACAGACTTGGAACTTAAGGTAAACATAGCAAAGTCAAAAAATGTATGAATTCAACTCTTTTTTAACAGGTTTTGTTTGCTATTCTTAGCTGTCATGCTGCTGTGCTTGCTATAGCTGTGGCTGGAGTCATTATGTCTTTAGGTTGTCCATCTGTCCCATTCTTGTGAACGTGATATCTGCTGCACCTTGAGGGAATGTCTTCAGAATTTGGCACAAATGTTTAGTTGGACTCAACGATGAACTGATTAGATTTTGGTGTTCGAAGGTCAAGGCTACTGTGACCTAACAAAACATATTTTGGCCATAACTCAAGAATTCATATGCTAATTATGACAACAATTAGCCCAAATGTCTCATAGGATAAAATGATAAAGTGATGTTGGTGAAGCATCCATGCTTTCACAGACATGGATTTAAACTGTAAGTTCAACTTGACTTGTTGACAGACGCATACAACCGCAAAGTGGTAATTCTACTTTTTGTGCAAATATCTATAGAAACATGGGCTGAAGGTGTATATGAGGGACCCCAATTCTTTCACCCCCATGTTGGAGGAGGGGGTGGGAGGTGCCCCACCAAGGTCTCTCACCCTGGGCTCAGATATGGCCATGAATCAGAGGGAGATGGGCAAGTTCTCACAGAAGGATGCTAAGGTGATTTAAGCAGCATTATAGCAAAAGTAAATGGTTGACTGTATTGTGCAGATGTATGCAAGCTCTTAGTAGGACAGTAGGATAAACTGAGAAAAGGTCTTCACTCTCACTTATTCTGTGACTCTGGCAACTCTGGCTACTGATGGTGTGGTAGGAGCCATGACCAGTCCAAGTAATCCTGGTAGTGGGTGAGACACATTTTTGGACACCCTGTGGCACACACACACACACACACTACAGGTTTAACTGCACTGAATTAAACACAGACCTTGTCTTTCAGGTATGTGCTCTTGCACCATGTGATGGGAGAGTTGGAGAAGGAGAAGGGAGCATGGGGTTATGTGGAGGGAGGCATGGGAGGCATGTCTCGCGCTATTGCTAACTCTGCTCGATCCTACGGTGTAGACATTTTCACTGAGAAGGTAATATGGTTTGGACTGATTATGTATGTGATGCAGTTTATTTTGTGGAAATGACATTCTAGCATCTGTACTTAGGTCTTTGTGCATGTACAATGTGTGTCCTTGGCAGGATGTAGGACAGGTCCTGGTCGGTTCAGAAGGTGCTGCCAAGGGAGTGGTGCTAAAGGACGGCACAGAGATCCACAGTAAAGTTGTTTTATCAAACGCTATGCTGTAGGTCACCTTCAAGAACCTCACGCCACAGGTAATATAGAGACATAAACACACATGTAACCATGGCAACAGACAATATGATTTTTTTTCTGGCTTCCTGTTTTCACTGTAGGCTGCTCTTTCTCCAGAGTTCATCAAAGCTGTAGATCAGATAGACTACACCTCCCCTGTCACCAAGATCAACGGTAAATCTCTTCTGTTTCTGTCCTGCTTGAACTTGAAGTGATAAGTTATAAGGGGATATAGACGTGGCAGTAAAGCACAAACAGATGTAGTGTATCAGGAGGGATCAGCACTTATTCCCCCATTATTGAATACTGTTGGTTACAGTGTAAGATTAGGTCACTGCCTCAGCTCTTGGTACTCTAAACACAAGTTTCAAAGTTTGGGGTGTTATAAAACAGTGTAAAGCTAAGAACTACAAAGATGTTTAGAGGTGTTCCTGTGTGGTGCCATTTGTAGCTGCTGCTTGTTAATTACAGTAGAGCCTGAGCTGTAGGGCTTTATTACTCTGGAAGTCTTTACTCCCAACTGATCCTTTACAGTGCATCGCCTCTTAGACTCAACAACAGTCTCTGTTATGTAGAATTTATTTTAACAGTCTTAGCTTAAGGTGAAGGAACTGAGCAGTGTTAGGCTCAACTTATGATTGTTGCCCTATTTATTTTTGCCCTTGTTATTTTAGTAGTCAGAAAACTGAAACTTAAGCACACACTTTAACATAATCTCAGAGCAAACGCTGATTCCATGTCATTTTCTTTGTTGTGACCTGTGTTTTCACAGTGGCAGTGGACAAGCTACCAAACTTCTTAGCATCTCCCACACCAGATAATAAACCTGGACCCCACCATCAGTGCTCCATTCATCTCAACTGTGAAAGCGTGGAGGTACTGGAGACTGCATACAAAGAGGCCATGAATGGACGTCCCTCAGCAAGGAACATACTATATGTCTTCACACTCCAAGTAAACACCTAAGCATTTTTTTCTATGTACTTATATAAGATTCAACAGATAACATTCAGAAACCAAATCATCCTGACCATACGTGCAAGATGCAAGGCGTATACTGCACCATACAAAATCCTTACAATGCCTACATCATAAAGCTATGACATTATATGCCTTATAATTGTTTTTTCTATCATTGTACATTTTCTTCTGGCAACTGGGCTGTTTCTCCACACATTTATCCCAACATGATTCAACAACAGACTGGGTTAGATTGTTCATATATCCACATCTTGTCGATATCACTGAGCCTAGAATGAGAAGTATTCTGTCCCCGTAACATGAGGTCTAGCTCCAACAGTGTGTCTGTTAAAAACTTTTTCATCAACGATTCACCCACCGCTCTTGTTTCATCATGCCTCTCTGTTTCTGTAGACCCATGGTGGAGATGCACATTCCCTCTGTGTTGGATCCTACTCTGGCTCCCCCTGGCTGCCACGTGGTGTCACTGTTCACCCAGTTCACCCCATTCCACATAGACTGCAATGATTGGACAGACCAGGACAGGGAAGCCTACGCAGACACAGGTTCAACACACAAAACGATCCAAGAGTTATAACATGCTGTGCTTAAAGCTTAAATTTAAAAATGTATTGAAAAGAAAATGTTTATTCCAAATTGAGACACCCACATTTTTAAGCCACGATCTGTCCTTTTTAGATGCTGAAAGTCCAAAATGGATCAGCTGTGTTTGAAGGAATCCTGATTAATCTGTTTCCATGTGTTTGTCTGTCTCCTCAGCATTTGACTGGGTGGAGCAATACGCCCCTGGTTTTAAACAGTCGGTGGTGGGGAGGGACATCCTGACTCCACCTGACCTGGAGAGGATCTTTGGGCTCACTGGAGGGGTACACACACTGTACACATTGTAGAGCTGAGCAGCAATTTGAATATTGATCCACAGCTGATTTGCTTGACACAATCAACAGTTCACTGGATGAGGAAGTATTTTGCATTTCTGTAGTGTTCACCATCAGAGGGACAGCCCTGTTGTACAAGCAGTTAATGGTTACAGACAGTTTTACCACAACCCGTGAGTGAGAATCAAAGTTCACATCAGCTGTGGAAAGTGACACTAACTCACCGTTTACAGTGTATGAATGTATTATAGAAATGGCAGGCTGCTTTTATCATATTATTAAATTGTTTTACAAAAATGTTGGTTTTGTCTTTACAGAATGCTTTACCCTCGCTGTCAGACTACTGTTCACCAATCAAAGGGCTGTATATGTGTGGCAGCAGCGCTCATCCAGGTAAGAAGAGCTCAGAACCACTGGATGAAATCTTATCCTCGCTGCTGATGATAAAAGAAATGATGTCACTAGATGATGTTGGGTAGCTTAGTAAACTGTTAATGATTTCCCAGAACAAAACAAAATGGACTAATTCTTGGCCATTTCATACATTTAATGTTTCTTAGGTGGTGGTGTGATGGGTTCTCCTGGCTGGAACGCAGCACTCACCGTCATGGCTGACATGAAACGTCGCTGAAATGTGACAGCATCAGCGTGTGGTCTGCTTGTCAGCGTGCAATATCTCTTTTGTCTCAGTCAGTCACTCCTGTTATCAAACACTCGTGCAATACTGCCACACTAAATCCTATTGCGACATCACTTATGAAGTCATCGAACTGAGCCAGCAGAAAATAACTGATACCAGAACATCATTAATGTTGATGACAGTTGCTTTTTTTAGAATAACTGACATGTTTTAATGAGACTTTTTACAACTTTGTATGAATAGATGTAAATAAATTCAAGCAAATAAGTTTTCTATACTTTTAAACAATATATAATAATAATAAACAGTATAATTATTGAGGAAAACGTTTAACGCACTTTAACTGCCTGACAGAGAATAGCAGACCTGTCTAGTGCTCTTAACAAGACTTGGGAGATTTGGTCTGGAGTATACTGGAGCACATGGACTTGAGGCAACAAACTTTATATTGATTTTATACAAGTTATTTATTATTGTTATGTATATTTTGATACAGATTAATGGATGTGGTTACTGATGAATTGTCATGAACAGACATCTCTTAAGTCTCTCCTGATATGCTCAATGATTAATGTGTTTCATGCTGTGTGGGACTGATGGGACATTTTAAGATATCAGGGCAGAAATCTGATTTTCACAGCGGATATTTTGACTTGTCATGGTAAGAAAACAGGTGTTAGTAATAAAATTAATGATGGCTCTGTAAGTATCAGGACCCTGAAACTGAAGCAGATAAATGGAATCCAGCCATCATTAATTTTACACCTGGGTATCTACATAATACAGCAATTAAATTAGTCTTAGAATAAGGTCCATGTTGGTGACTGTTTAATTGAATGTGGCCTAATGAGTTTTCTATAAGTTCAGTCCGGTGACAAATAAACATTATTTTGATATTTCTGTTACTGATCAGGTTAGTTCAAGGACCAAAATTATTTTGCATAAGCAACCAAACTGGATTTCCTCTGGACTCTCTCAGCTTGAATCTTCATTTTTACCCTGATCTTTAGAATATAGTTTATATGTTTAGTGTAGTTTGATGAAAAATTTGTAACACAAGGTCCATGGATTAGATTTCTTCCAGAGCCTTCAACACAAGATCTGACTGAGGCTTCCAGAAGAAATCTTGTCAGTGGACTTTGAGTTAAGATGTTTTTGTCAAACCTTGCATACAAATTGTAATAAGTGTACTGAAGTACTTTCCAGATTTACATATTTTCTTTATTCATACATTTGTGTTACTTGTATTAAAAAATGGTAGCATCACATGTTTCCAGTTTGACCTGATTTTTATGTTACTGTGTTTATTTAACTGTAATAAACTATGGTATCTTAACAAGTGGTATATTAAGTAGCAGAGGTGTGGACTTGAGTCACAAATTTTATGACTTTAGACTTGACCAAATTAAAAAGATTTGCAACTTGACTTGGACTTTAACACCACTTACTTGTGACATCACTCAGTCTTGAGCCTTTTAACTTGAAAATACTTGATACGTTTCTCAGAGCCCAAAGATTAAAAGTATGTTATTTAAAAAGTGTCATAAATCATTTGATTTCCTGAACATTTCCTCAACCAACATTAACTCTGTTAATTCCGTGCAAGTTGGCACTTGATTCCCCAGATGATCCGCTTTGTTTGAACCAGTCTGACAGCATCCACTCAAGTTGTAGCAGAGAATCATGAAGAGTTAACATTACGTTACTGAGTGCCAGTTGAAAAAAACATATACCATACCACAAATAAATGCAAATTTTGAAAAACATTCATGATTTAATATAACTGTGTTGTTAAAATGGCATTACAAGTACATGTTGAGGAGCCTAATATCCTCCGGAGACCCTGTGTCCTCATATGAGGGCATCACATATGCACACATGCTATTGCTTGACCTTATACTTCATTCTTCTTAACTTAGACCTGTTGTCCTTGTTTGTGGACACTTTTCTTGTGCCATCTAGTGGTAGTAAGAGCACAATACACTAATCCATGTAAAAACAAGATGGCAGCCATCTCTGCCAAGTCAGTCTGCAGCCGATCCCTACACAACAGTTGGCAAGGTCCCAAACCTGATCACATTTTATTGTTGAAACTTGTTTACTGATGATGAATAAGTTTGCAGTTTGATATGGCAACAAAATTGACCAATTTTAGCAACAGTAACAAGCAATTTGAGGACTCTGGGACTTTATTACCATTGACAGTGTTTAGTTTTTTTATACTTAATCGGGTCCTACTGATCCCAAATAGCTTGGAGAAATTGGAAATGCATATCAAACAAAGGTTCAGGTCTCAGGAGGATATGACATGTTTAAGACTTGGGGCTTAACTTGAGACTTGTCAGTCTTGACTCAGAACTTGAGCGCCAAGACTTGACACTTACTTGTGACTTGCAAAACAATGACTTAAATTACAAAATAAATGTAATTGTAATCAGTTACAGTTAAGAAAAGCTATATAATATAATTAAATTACATTTATTAAACAAAATGTTGGCAATTAAAAAGGTGCATACTTCTGAATCTATTCTCAGTAAAAAGCTTAGAGTATAATATTCAGTCCACGTCTCAATCACACACAGCCTACTACACTCACTACTACAAACACGCGCACACACACACACTCGTGAGTCCCAGTCCACTCCCCTCCCCTCCAAGCCTACCGATGAGTGTGGGTCCTCGCTCCAACAGGAAACCCGGATCTACTTTACGCAGCTGCAGGAGAAAAGGGGCGGGACTGACTGAGGTGGACTCCTGTCTCAAACTTGTGCTATGGCTGCAGCGGTGTGGACTGATCGGGGACGGAGGGCTGTGACTGTAGTGGGGACAGTGACGAGATCCAGTCACACAGCTTTAAAATCCCAGTATGACGCAGTGGTCATCGGAGGAGGTGAGAGGTCCGGACTGTTGGTGCAATAAGTGCAACAAAACCCAGCTGTGCGTCAACAACAGCATGCGCCACACTCTGCAGCATTGATACGTTTCAGCTAAGTTTGCAAAAGTAATCAATAATAATTTTATGTCTTATTGTTTAAATTTCCTTTACCAGCCTGCAGAAGATGTTCGGCTCTGTGCATTTAAGTGTTTTACAGCATCATTGCTTCATCTGAATTCAACTTTGGACCCATTAAACTTGACTGTAAAAAGTTTAGGAGAGCAGATTGCATGAAGTGCCCAACAACAATATTAATGGCACTTAATTGGAACAACTGTCAATAGAGCGATTTCAAGTACTTTCTAAGGGGCATTTGCATTTTATAAAATCTGTCTGACATGTTATATTTCATTGCAGGACACAATGGACTGGTGGCAGTGAGTTAATGCATGTTTCCCAACACCTATAATATGTTGTAATACATGATATGGTTTAGCAACAGGGTAAAGGTGATGTGTCTCTGGTGTGTGTGTGTAGGCTGCATATCTTCAGAAGGGAGGACTGAAGACAGCAGTGCTGGAGCGCAGACATGTGCTGGGAGGAGCAGCTGTTTCAGAGGAACTCTTCCCTGGTAGGGTGGCCTCTGGCTGGGATACAATCCTGGTTCAACTCAGGTCATAAAGGGTCGGTTCACCAAAATTTAACTAGGACAAAAAAGGGTGTCTCCTGAGTTGTATCTCAATGTTCAGACACTGTATATGGGAACTACTGTCTAACTAACAAGTAACCCGTTGTGGAGACTGTTTACAACATGTTCTGTGGTTTATCCAGAGTAACAGAGACACTGCAACACTCACACACATGCTCACAAACCATCTGCATGCCCAGATACCACCAGTGAAGTGATGAATTTAAAAGTGGTAAATTTATTAAATTTCTGTGGGGGCTAAACACTGTTATCTTTATAACTTAATATACTGTGGTAATGAGTGATGTATCAAGTCATGCTTAAAAGAAATTTACTTTATTTCATCCTTGTTAGAGTAACAGTACTCTTTGCTTGCAGGTTTCCACTTCTCCAGGTGTTCCTATTTGCTCAGTTTATTAAGACCTCACATATACGCAGACTTGGAGCTCAAGGTAAACATAGCAAAGAGGTAAAATATATTAATTCAGCTTTTTTAAAAAAAAAAAAAAAAAAAAAAAAGCTTAAATTGTTTACTGCTCTTTATTATTGTGCATATATTTACAGAAACATGGGCTGAAGGTGTATATGAGGGACCCCCATGCTTTCACCCCCATGTTGGAGGAGGGGGTGGGAGGTGCCCCACCAAGGTCTCTCACCCTGGGCTCAGATACGGCCATGAATCAGAGGGAGATCAGCAAGTTCTCACAGAAGGATGCTAAGGTGATTTAAGCAGCATTATAGCCGAAGTAAATGGTTGACTGTATTGTGCAGATGTATTCAAGCTCTTATTACAGGAGTACAAACTGAAAAAGTTATTCGCGGTCTCTCTTGATCTTTTATTCTCCAGCAGTATTAAGTTATTCTGCCTTTCTCCCCATCCTTTGACATGTCCACAGGTGTTTCCAGACTATGTTGCACACCTTGATAAACTAGCAGGAGCCATCCACCCTCTCCTGGACGCTGCTCCTGTAGACATCCCAGGTGTTACTGCTGGATCACTGAGGAAGAGGCTGGCTGCAGCTAAAACACTGATGCCTATTGTCAAATGCGGTGCGTTGGTGGATTTAGACATAAACTTTTTTATTTTCAGAATAACAATTTATCCACCATGTGCTAATTTATTTTTCTGGAGTAAAAGAGTCATGATGTCATGTTTTGTTATTTAAAGGTCTGAAACTGGGCAGAAACATTCCAGACTTTTATGAGATTATAAGCGCACCAATAATGAAGGTTTGTTATACTATGTTGGGCATTTTTTTGTTGTTATTGTTTTTTTGTTTTTTTTACTGCATGGTGGCTAACTGGTGATTTGTATCATAGATTCTCAATCGGTGGTTTGAGTCAGAGCCACTCAGAGCAACTCTGGCTACTGATGCTGTGATAGGAGCCATGACCAGTCCAAGTAATCCTGGTAGTGGGTAAGACACATTTTTAGGACACCCTGTGGCGCACACACACACACACACACACACACACACACACACACACACACTTCGCCCCCCCAATAATAATTTGCATACTAATTACTCACCTTGTGTTACCTTGAATTCTTGAAGAACATGTTGAGAATCCAGAAACGTAGAAGTTTCTTGATGAATTGAAGTCATAGTGGGCTGCGTTTAACAACAGCAAAAAGATATCTAAACATCTGTTTGCAGTGTAATTCAAGTCTCCTTTATCCAGTTATATGCTGAGTACTTCCTAAACACATACATTTTGGCTAAAACCTTAACATTTAAAACACTTCCACGTAAACAGTCTCAAGCAAGGACATGTACTGTGGAGGCCTGCAAGACAAACAATGTTTTCTTCCCACATTCAGCAGGACACGGGATAAGTAACTGATGTACAAATGATCATTTGGGGGCTAAATTTAACACAGACCTTGTCTTTCAGGTATGTGCTCTTGCACCATGTGATGGGAGAGCTGGAGAAGGAGAAGGGAGCATGGGGTTATGTGGAGGGAGGCATGGGAGGCGTGTCTCGCGCTATTGCTAACTCTGCTCAATCCTACGGTGTAGACATTTTCACTGAGAAGGTAATATGGTTTGGACTGATTATGTTTGTGATGCAGTTTATTTTGTGGAAATGACATTCTAGCATCTGTATTTTGGTCTTAATGCATGTACAATGTGTGTCCTTGGCAGGATGTAGGACAGGTCCTGGTCGGTTCAGATGGTGCTGCCAAGGGAGTGGTGCTAAAGGACGGCACAGAGATCCACAGTAAAGTTGTTTTATCAAACGCTACCCCATATGTCACCTTCAAGAACCTCACGCCACAGGTAATATAGAGACATAAACACCACATGTAACCATGGCAACAGACATTATGATTTATTCTGGCTTCCTGTTTTCATTATAGGCTGCTCTTTCTCCAGAGTTCATCAAAGCTGTAGAACAGATAGACTACACCTCCCCTGTCACCAAGATCAACGGTAAATCTCTTCTGTTTCTGTCCTGCTTGAACTTATGCAAGATTGATGAGCTGGTAGTTGTTGTGTTTTGACTGCAAAAAATAAATCATTGTATCCAAAGGTGCTGACTGTCAAAGTAATATAAAATGTTGCCACCCCGGAGTACTTTTTCTGTTTAAGTCTGCCTCAGAGTATGATCATGTTTACAGTCAGAACAAGCCTTAAAAGAAACAGCCACAGGGCGCACTGTACTGTCTTTGTGCAAGTGTTGTTCCTCTAGCCACATATTTACAGTGTCTAGATGAAACCCTGCATTCTTTACATAGACTACTGGTCTGTTTTCTGTGTTGAACCACAACCTACACACTTTACATGCTGCAAAAAAACTATAACTTGTAAGACAATAGAGATGTGGCAATAAGACACAGACAGATGTAGTGTATCAGGAGGGATCGGCACTTATTCCCCCATTATTTAATACTGTTTGTTATTACAGTGTAAGATTAGGTCACTGCTTGGTACTCTAAACACAAGTTTTAAAGTTCTTTAGAGTTGTTCCTGTGTGGTGCCATTTGTAGCTGCTGCTTGTTAATTACAGTAGAGCCTGAGCTGTAGGGCTTTATTACTCTGGAAGTCTTTACTCCCAACTGATCCTTTACAGTGCATCGCCTCTTAGACTCAACAATAGTCTCTGTTTTGTAGACGTTATTTTAACAGTCTTGGCTATATGGTGAAAGAAAACACTTTTCCATAATCTATTAGCAAATATTGATTCCATATAATTTTCTTTGTTGTGACCTGTTTTTTTACAGTGGCAGTGGACAAGCTACCAAACTTCTTAGCATCTCCCACACCAGATAATAAACCTGGACCCCACCATCAGTGCTCCATTCATCTCAACTGTGAGAGTGTGGAAGTGCTGGAGACTGCATACAAAGAGGCCATGAATGGACGTCCCTCAGCACGGTATATATATATATTTTCACTCTCCAAGTGAACACTGTGACACTTATTTTCTCACAGCGATGCAGAAGGGGTCTGTGGTTAGGTTTAGACAACAAAACAACTTGGTTAGGGTTAGGAAAAGATCATGGTTGACGTCAATTATAATCTTTTCCTAACCCTAACCAAGTAACTTTGTCGCCTAAATTTAACTGAAGTGACAAAATAACTGAACGTTGATTTTGAGTTTCTCATGGGACACCAACACTGGTGTACTAGGTTAAAGTCCTGTGCTCATTGAACCTGTCCATCTTGCCTTCCACCAACCCAAAGCACATTTTCCCTCTCTACCTGCATTGCTTTGAATATTTAATATTGATACGGACAGGTTTACATTGGAGTTAGTTGAAAGCCTAGTGCGTTTCATACAGATGCCATATCTGATGCCACTGACCAAGCTGCTTTCTTTGCTGCCCTGAGAATGAAACTAGGTTGACTTTTTCTTTCTACAGCAACCAAATCATTCCACTGGTTAGCTAAGAAAGCTACTACTGGAGATTAGGGTTTCAGCTGGTGTAAAATACTCAAAACTGGTTCACCTATAAGAGCCAGACCAGAGCGGTATACTGAATTTTAAGCATTTAACTCAGCAGCCACTCCCCAGTGGAACATAATGACATTGTGTCCTAATAGAAGACAAGCATCCAACAATTATCACGTTGCGTTGCATAACATCGGAGCTCTCTGACCANTTCCATGTGTTTGTCTGTCTCCTCAGCATTTGACTGGGTGGAGCAATACGCCCCTGGATTTAAACAGTCGGTGGTGGGGAGGGACATCCTGACTCCACCTGACCTGGAGAGGATCTTTGGGCTCACTGGAGGGGTACACACACTGTACACATTGTAGAGCTGAGCAGCAATTTGAATATTGATCCACAGCTGATTTGCTTGACACAATCAACAGTTCACTGGATGAGGAAGTATTTTGCATTTCTGTAGTGTTCACCATCAGAGGGACAGCCCTGTTGTACAAGCAGTTAATGGTTACAGATAGTTTTACCACAACCCGTGAGTGAGAATCAAAGTTCACATCAGCTGTGGAAAGTGACACTAACTCAGTGTTTATGGCGTACGACTGTATGTGGAAGTCATTCAACCAAAGGCAGGCTACTTTTATCATGATAATGTTATATGTTATATCAGGAAGCAAAAAGAAATGTAAACATGTTGGTCTCGCCTTCACAGAATATCTTCCATGGATCAATGTCGCTGGATCAGCTCTACCTAGCACGACCTTTGCCCTCGCTGTCAGACTACCGTTCACCAATCAAAGGGCTGTATATGTGTGGCAGCGGCGCTCATCCAGGTTTGCCTTTAATGCTGAACCCTCAACTGAATATTCAACTGTAAATGTGGCTGTGTGTTGTGTACAGTGTAGTACAAGTACAGTCATGAATGTGATGTTGTCTGGTGTAAGAAGAGCACAGAACCTTTGGATGAAATCACTGCTGATGATAAAAGAAATGACGTCACTTGATGATGTCAGGTAGCTGAGTAAACTGTCAATGATTTCCCAGAACAAAACAATAGTGACTCATTCTTGCTCATTTAATACATGTAATGTTTTTTAGGTGGTGGTGTGATGGGTTCTCCTGGCTGGAACGCAGCGCTCACTGTCATGGCTGACATGAAACGTCGCTGAAACATGTGACAGCATCAGCGTGTGGTCTGCTCATCAGTGTTCGACCTCTCTTTTGTCTCACTTGTGTAAATTTGACTGGTCTGAGAAATGTATTTCAACATTCACTCCAACCATCTGTCTGATCTGTTCACTCCATCATATTGTTTATAACAATATCTGAGAAGAAAAATGTTGATTTAATAATACAGCTGACATAGGATGAAAGAGCTAAGGAGAGACTTAGCTTCTGTTTTATTTATAGACCGTCCATGTAAAAAGTCCACCAGTCAGTCACTCCTGTTATCAAACACTAGTGCAATACTGCCGCACTAAATCCTGTTGCGACGTCACTTATGAAGTCATCGAACTGAGCCAGCAGAAAATCACTGATAGCAAAAAAACATTAATGTTTAGGACAGTTGCATTTTTAGAATAACTGATGTCATAATGAACTGTTAATTTAACAGTGAAAATAAAGCACAATGGGACGTTTTACAACTTTGTATGAATAAATTTACATGAATTCAAGCATATATGTTTCATTTCTTTGCGTAAAAATTGAGGAAAATATTTAACAAGCTTCAGCTGCCTCACAAGGATCAGCAGGCTTTTCAGAGTAGGGCAATCTTGTTTCAGAAAGTATACAGGAGCACCATACTTGAGGCAACGAACTTGATTATAGAACAAAAGTTTCAACACCAAGTGCATCTTCATCAGTCAAGCAGCTCTCTTAAATAACCTCCCTTAATAAGAAAGTTGTTTGGCACAGGTTCCCTTGTGTCTCTCAGATTCTGGGGGGTTGTAAAAAATTCCACCATCACCTACAGGTGGAGACGTGATTAATAGATTGCTATAGAGAGAAGCTTTCTGAATCACTGAACACTGTTGAATCATCGGGACTTAACGAGGAGCTAATACTAACTTGTTTTTAAAACATTACTTTAAACTAACTTGGTTTTTTTTATAAAGCCATATGGCTGTAGAGGCTATTTGCTATTATTACTGATATATTATGATGTGTTGTTACAGTCTGTGGGGAGGTTGTAATGTCATGAATCTCTTATATGTGTCCTTTTTTAAAAAAAATTTGATTATCTAGAACACATGCAGCCCACTCTTCCAATTTATGCTATAGGACTTCCTTTTCAGGGGACTGGCATTTAAGATATTGACTGGTTTCATTTATATCAGTTTGATCAAAGTTTTTCATTATTGTTATTAGGGATGCAAGATAATATTGGGACGTCATCTGTACTGGCTGATACTGGCTTTAAACCAACATCCACTCCAACATCATCCATTCAAGTTGCAGAGGAGAGCCGGGAAGAATTAACATTACATTACTGAGCACCAGTTGAAAGACATGATACCAAAGATAATTTTGTTTGCGTACAAAAACTAAGCACAGCATGCCAAACATGCGGTTTAAAAATTACAGAAGAAGATGCAACAACTTCCAACATACTTGTTTTAACAGATGAATACCAATTTTAAAAAAGCATTCATGATTTTTGGTAAATTTATTGTTAAAATGGCATTACGTTTTGCGAAGAGCACATGACGACTTGTTTAGGACTTGGGACACGAGTTGGGACTTGTCAATACTGACTGCAGACTTGAGTACAAAGACTTGAGACTTACTGGTATTTTGTAGAACAATGACTTGGTCCCACCTCCGATCAGTAATAGCCTAGAGTAACCAGCTACATGTAATTAAATTATAAATTAAATGTAATTATAATCTGTTACAACTGCTGAGATAATCTATGTAATTAAATTACAGTAGAATATAACATTCCTTCTGTTGCTTGCATCTTGTTGCCATGCAGGAATGTGTTCTTTTGGCATAACCTATTTCTGGACATTTTTCAGCTTTATTGCCCAATTTAAAATATTTGTTGGAAAAGTTATCAAAAAGAAATAGAATGTAATACATTACATTACTTTGATAAAGTCAGTAAAATAGTTACATTACTTAGGATTAGATGGAGGAAGATTGTCCCCTTAAGAAAAAAGTCAATTGCTATAAAATTTAAAAAATATTTGGATATGATTTTAGCACGTGCAGGATGATGACACATGAACCAACAAACCAACAAAGGAGCAGTGACTGCTGGAGTGTGATAGCAAAGTTTCTATGTACACCTTACATAAATACATAATCACTATTTTCCAGTGACAAAAAAATAGATGAATTTACCCTAAAATGGTATTAGTGGAAAAAAAAACTAGAGCATAGCCATTCAATGCATGTGCTGAGAGTAAACTTAGTGTCATACAGGCCCACTTACCACTGGGCCATTACCTCATCTTACCAAATTATATTTTCAAAAGGGTAACTAGTAATCTGTACAATATTTCATTTCATAAGTAATCTTGCCAACACTACTTATATCATTGCATGACAACAAACTGTGCATCAAATGAATTGTAAAGTTATTTTTATTCATATTATTTTAAATCTTAATGAACGATAGGAAGCATATATTTAAGTGTCATTTTTTGTTAGTAGCCCATTCACTCATTCATTCACTCATTCATTCATTCACTCACTCACTGTGATAGGATCTGATCTGTTCAATAATCAATAATGGTGTCCTGTCCCTTTAAGACGCCGCTCAGGGTGGACCCAACGTCGGCGTTTGACGCTCAGGAAGTGGACTCAACCACCAAAGATTCCCGCAGATTCGATATCGATTGTCCCAATGTTTCAAACGTGTTCACCCTGAGCCTAAACATGTGTTAAAATACTTTTTATGGGATATCCGAGACGATAATGCTGGATGGTCGCACTCATGAAATTCACCAGGGACATATGCAGGCTGTTGGGACTCGGCAGCGGTAAGAAAACGTCCCACTTTTTCAAAACTTTCTAAAACTCAACCACAAGTTAAATTGATCCCGTAGGCGATAAGGAAACGCGTGTGACACTGAAACCGTGGACACTGTCCAACACGAGGTGTGTTAAAGCGTGTATATGTGGCAGTATTTCGCCATTGTCTCCACCGTGAAGTTCAAACTGGGTTCTTGGTCAAACAATGAAGGTTCCCCTCTTGCCAGTGTTACACCCTTTGCTTGCACCACTTCCAAGTTTGCGCAGGCGGTGCCACAAAGTTGTTGTGATAAAACGCACTTCCACAGACTTTTACATCCAGGACGCTAACAATAACACACTTACAATACTTTTAGTGCCCTATATAGCAGGGGAAGTGGGTAAGGAGCCCAAACTAGCACAGATTAGACACACATTACCCGGTACATGTTGGTATGATAACAATGCATCAGATAGGTGGTAGGAGCTGTGCAGCCCAGAGCTGGCGCAGCTGTACATTTAGATGAGCATCAAGTTAAGAGTCATTAAATATGTCATGTGCCAGCACCTTGTTCCTCTTCTTGCTTCTCCGTGTGTGTTTAGTTTCCTTGTAGCTGCAGAGCAGGTTAGTTTACTGACTTGACTGCATCAGAGGCTGCTCAGCAACAGTTGGTGTTGATGATGATCAACATGATTGCATAATGTGTGTCTACACTGTTCCTAAAGTCACATTCCCAGATTATATCCCACATAACTCACATCAGAGAGCAGACTGACTATTTTGGTTGTTCAGTGAGACTTCACTCCATCCATATGCACTCTGTTATAAAAGCTATAAAACTGTTGTGTAAATGTCTTCAGCCAGATTACAAAATCACTTAAACTGCTGACACTTGATTCAGTACTGATTATTTCGAATGATAAGGTCATGTTCTCCTTTTATTTCTCCCTTTCTCTGTGATGCCGTGCAAAGAAAGAAAAAGCTCAGCCTGTGAAACTGATTTCTAGGTTAAAAATCCCTTCCATGATGATACACTGTTATTTTACATTCCTGCGGAAAGAGCTCACCTTTCATCTCAACGCTAATTTAAGCAGTCTCCTTGACGGCGAGAGACAGAGACGCTTTTGTTGCTTTTGTCCACTGATCTTGGATCATTTATTTGTAAGGAGGACATTACTTTATACTTAAGATTTAACAAAAAGCCTGATTCAGGAGTTTTAGGAGTGGTTGTGTTTTTTGACATTTGAGTAGTGAGCCAGACATGGACAGCTGAAATTCCTTCCACTTTATAGGTACGTTTAGAGACACTAGCTCCTCATGATGGTGGGATGGTAGAGTCTTTACTGAAGGCAGTGAAACTTGTGCTGGAATGGTTTAGGCATCGACTAGCGCTGTCTAAAGTGGTGACCAGTGCCACAGCACCCTATAAAATACCCATGCAGAGACAGAATGAGGAAGTCTAGTAGCTGCTTGTCATCTTTTTCCCACAAGAAATGCAGCGTGTTTAAAGAGCGAAGCAGCACTGAGGAGCCGGAGAGCTGCAATCACTCTCATCAATGCCTCCCGAGTCACAACATGAGTCACAGACCAAGTATGAATTTGTCACTGCTCTGGAAATCTTTGCTGAACGAATGGAAATCCGACACCACGCACAATCCTGCGTGCTCCAGTGTTTTTGCTGTCTTTTGTCTTTTCATTTGTCTGCTTCCACTGGGCCTAAATCAGCTGCAGGTTTCTGGTTTGATCTGATCTGTGCCTCCCCAACACACACACACACACACACACACACACACACACACACACACACACAGATCCCACCTTCAGGGCAGTGGTTGTTTTCAATGTAATTTCCAACCAAGCGTCTAAGAAAAGATACCGTGTTCTCAAACATCCATGCTGGAGGCAGCTGTGTGTTGCATGTTGGGCTTGTGGCAGTGGAAAACTCAGAGCAAACAGCCCTCTCATAAGACCGAGAAGAAACAACTTGGATCAACAACTGTGCATTTTTGTCTCCTGTTGAGCTTTTCTGGCTTTTTTTTTTTTTTTTTTTTTTAATAAGAAAGCATTACATCACCTTTCCTTACTCCACCCAGCATCATTAAATGTTTTGCATTTTGTTATCAAAGGTCATTGTGGTTAGACTTGAATGGGAATGAGGAAGGAGGAACATATTTACTTGCCATCCAGACAAGTAGAGAGTATTTCTTTTGGTTTTCAGTTTAGGACGACTGAGCTGCTTGTAGACGTGCGTTATTATTCAGGCATGTGTAGCTGATGGCTACCTCGCTACACAGTACTATCTAACAGTACACGATGTCCATACTTGCTGTGCGGACTGCACGCTGTATCATTTTGAGAACCAGAGCCATTTTCTTGATTAGAGCTGTGCTGGTTCCCACAAAATGAAGACAGTGTGTGTTTCCCAACAGGCCCTCCTGTCCAGCAGCAGGAGGAGCAGATGGACTGTGGTGCTGCAACCCCTGATCCAAGTGATGCCACTTTGTCACAGGTAAACAAATGGTGTCACACTGACAGGGCACTGTAAGGCCTGCGAGGGTGATGGTGCAATGTGCAGCATTCAACTGTGTGTGTTTGTTTAGGATGCATTAAATGGAGAGGAGGATCTGAGTGAGGAGGAGAAGGTCAGGCGGAGGGCAGAGCGACGCAAAGCCAAGAGGAAGGTGAGCACAGATCACTCCTACACTCTTACACTCCTTAAA